AAATTACTCCTGGGATGCCCCAAAGGCCTTCCACTGACCCCCGTTTCCCCCCCCCAGGGCCCGCTGTGCCCCGTCGGCCCCGGGCCCGGCCCCGGGGGTCCCCCCGGCCCCGCCGGTCCCATGGGACCCTTCAACCCCGGCCCCTTCAACCAGGGCCCCCCCGGGGCGCCCCCGCAGTGAGTACCTGCCTTTGGGGGGGATTTTGGGGGTTCAGCCCCCCCAAAACCCCCTCCCCGTAACCCCAGCCCCGAATTTGGCAGCCCGGGGGGGCCGCCCCCGCACCAGTACCCCCCCCAGGGCTGGGGGAACGCGTACCCCCAGTGGCAGCCGCCCGCCCCCCACGACCCCAGTGAGTACCGGGGGGTTTGGGGGGACCCCCAGGGGCCGGGGGGACCCCGAGGGTTTGGGGGGTTTTGGGGGGTTTGGGTGCACCCTAAAAAATCCCAAAAATCCCAAAGTTTGGGGGGTTTGGGGAGAGACACCTTGGGTTTGGAGGATTTGGGGTTTTTGGGGGGTCTGGAAATTTGGGGGGACCCCCGGAGGGTTTGGGATTTGGGGGGTTTTGGGGGGGTTTGGGTGCACCCTAAAAAATCCCAAAAATCCCAAAAATCCCAAAGTTTGGGTGGGAACCCTTGGGTTTGGGGTTTTGGGGGATTTGGGGTTTTTGGGGGGTCTGGAAATTTGGGGGGACCCCTGAGGGTTTGGGGCTGGAGGTTTTGGGGGGGTTTGGGTACATCCTAAAAAATCCCAAAATTTGGGGGGTTTGGGGTGGGACCCCTTGAGTTTGGAGGATTTGGGGTGTTTTGGGGGGGTTCTGAAATTTCGGGGGACCCCCCGAGGGTTTGGGGTTTTGGGGATTTTGGGGGGGTTTGGTGCACCCTAAAAAATCCCAAAGTTTGGGGGTTTGGGGAGGGACACCTTGGGTTTGGGGTTTTGGGGGATTTGTGGTTTTTGGGGGGTCTGGAAATTTGGGGGGAGCCCCCGAGGGGCCTAAAAAATCCCAAAATTTGGGGGGTTTGGGGCGAGACCCCTTGAGTTCGGAGGATTTGGGGTGTTTTGGGGGGGTTCTGAAATTTGGGGGGACCCCCGAGGGTTTGGGGTTTGGGGGGTTTTGGGGGGGCTTTGGTGCACCCTAAAAAATCCCAAAAATCCCAAAGTTTGGGGGGTTTGGGGAGGGACACCTTGGGTTTGGAGGATTTGGGGTTTTTTCGGGGATCCCAAAATTTGGGGGGACCCCCGAGGGGCTGGGGGGTTTTGGGGGGTTTTGGTGCACCCTAAAAAATCCCAAAGTTTGGGGGGTTTGGGGAGAGACACCTTGGGTTTGGAGGGTTTGGGGGATTTGGGGATTTTGGGGGGTCTGGAAATTTGGGGGGACCCCCGAGGGTTTGGGGTTTGGGGGGTTTTGGGGGGGTTTGGGTGCACCCTAAAAAATCCCAAAAATCCCAAAGTTTGGGGGGTTTGGGGAGGGACACCTTGGGTTTGGAGGATTTGGGGTTTTTGGGGGGTCTGGAAATTTGGGGGGACCCCGAGGGGCTGGGCAGACCCCCGGAGGGTTTGGGGGTTTTGGGGGGGCTTTGGTGCACCCTAAAAAATCCCAAAGTTTGGGGTGGGACCCTGTGGGTTTGGGGGTTTTGGGCTGTTTTTGGGCTGTTTCTGGGCTGGTTTTGGGCTGTTTTGGGGTATTTTTTGGGCTGTTTTTGGGTATTTTTTGGGCTGTTTTAGGGTATTTTTTGGGCTGTTTCTGGGCTGTTTTTGGGCTGTTTCTGGGCTGTTTCTGGGTATTTTTTGGGCTGTTTTCGGGTATTTTTTGGGCTGGTTTTGGGTATTTTTTGGGCTGTTTCTGGGCTGTTTTTGGGCTGTTTTTGGGCTGTTTCTGGGCTGTTTCTGGGTATTTTTTGGGCTGTTTTCGGGTATTTTTTGGGCTGTTTCTGGGCTGTTTCTGGGCTGTTTCTGGGCTTTTTTTGGGCTGTTTCTGGGTTGTTTCTGGGCTGTTTTTGGGCTGTTTTTCTGCTGGTTTTTGGGCTGTTTCTGGGCTGTTTTTGGGCTGTTTTCGGGCTGTTTTCGGGTATTTTTTGGGCTGTTTCGGGGTATCTCCGGCCCCCCCCGGCTAACTCGGGGCTGTTTTTGGGCTGTTTCTGGGTATTTTTTGGGCTGTTTTTTTGGGTATTTTTTGGGCTGTTTCTGGGCTGTTTCTGGGCTGTTTCTGGGCTGTTTTTGGGTATTTTTTGGGCTGTTTCTGGGCTGTTTCTGGNGCTGTTTCTGGGCTGTTTCTGGGCTGTTTCTGGGCTGTTTTTGGGTATTTTTTGGGCTGTTTCTGGGCTGTTTCTGGGCTGTTTCTGGGCTGTTTCCGGGTATTTTTTGGGCTGTTTTCGGGCTGTTTCTGGGCTGTTTCTGGGCTGTTTTCGGGTATTTTTTGGGCTGTTTCCGGGCTGTTTCTGGGCTGTTTCCGGGCTGTTTCTGGGCTGTTTCTGGGCTGTTTCCGGGCTGTTTTCAGGCTGTTTCGGGGTGTCTCCGGCCCCCCCCGGCTAACTCGGGGCTGTTTTTGGGTTGTTTCTGGGCTGTTTCTGGGTATTTTTTGGGCTGTTTTTTTGGGTATTTTTTGGGCTGTTTTTTTGGGTATTTTTTGGGCTGTTTTTTTGGGTATTTTTTGGGCTGTTTCTGGGCTGTTTCTGGGCTGTTTCCGGGTATTTTCTGGGCTGTTTTTGGGCTATTTTCGGGTGTCTCCGGCCCCCCCCGGCTAACTCGGGGCTGGCTGTGGGGCTGTTTTTTGGGCTGTTTCTGGGCTGTTTTTGGGCATTTTTTGGGCTGTTTTTTGGGCTATTTTTGGCTGTTTTTTGGGCTGTTTTCGGGTATTTTCTGGGCTGTTTTCGGGCTGTTTCTGGGCTGTTTTCGGGCTGTTTTTGGGTATTTTTCGGGCTGTTTTTGGGTATTTTTCGGGCTGTTTCCGGGCTGTTTTCGGCTATTTTTTGGGCTGTTTCGGGTGTCTCCGGCCCCCCCCGGCTAACTCGGGGCTGTTTTTGGGGCCCCCCCCAGGCAAGGCGCCGGCCCCGGACCCCAACGCGGCCTGGGCCGCCTACTACTCGCACTACTACCAGCAGCCCCCCGGGCCCGCGCCCCCCCAGCCCCCCCCGGCCGCGCCCCCCGTCCAGGGGGAGCCCCCCCAGCCCCCCCCCGCCGGCCAGGCCGACTACACCAAGGCCTGGGAGGAGTACTACAAGAAACTGGGTGAGCGCCCCCGAATCCGCCCCGAATTCGCCCAAAATCCGCCCCAAATTCGCCCCAAATTCGCCCAAAAGTCGCCCCAAATTCGCCCAAAATCCGCCCCAAATTCGCCCAAAATTCGCTCAAAATCCGCCCCGAATTCGCCCAAAATCCGCCCCAAATTCGCCCCAAATTCGCCCAGAATCCGCCCAAAATCCGCCCAGAATTCATCCAAAATCCACCCCCAAATCCGCCCCGAATTCACCCAAAATCCGCCCCAAATTCGCCCCAAATTCGCCCGAAATTCACCCAGAATCCGCCCGGAATTCATCCAAAAATCCACCCCGAAATCCACCCCGAATGCACCCAAAATCCGCCCAGAATTCGCCCCAAATTCGCCCAAAATTCGCCCCAAATTCACCCAAAATCCGACCAGAATTCATCCAAAATCCACCCCCAAATCCGCCCCGAATGCACCCAAAATCCACCCAAAAATCCACCCCCAAATCCGCCCCAAATTCACCCAAAATCTGCCCAGAATCCGCCCAGAATCCGCCCAAAATTCACCCAAAATCCGCCCAGAATCCACCCAAAATTCATCCAAAATCCACCCCCAAATCTGCCCCAAATTCACCCGAAATTCATCCAAAATCCACCCCCAAATCTGCCCCGAATCCAACCAAATTCACCCAAATCCACCCTGAAATCCGCCTAAAATTCATCCAAAATTCACCCAAAATCCACCCAAATTCACCCAAAATTCACCCCAGAATTCACCCAAAATTCACCCAAATCCACCCCGAAATCCATCCCGAAATCCATCCCAAAATCCACCCAAAATTCATCCAAAATCCATCCCAAAATCCACCCAAAATTCGCCCAAAATTCACTCCAGAATTCATCCAAAATCCACCTAAAATCCACCCAAAATCCACCCAAAATGAATCCAAAATCTACCCCAAAATCCACCCTGGGCTCCTCCCAAATTCATGGGGGGGGATTGGGGGGGTCCAGGACCCCAAACCTGCCCCTGAACCCCAAATCTGCCCCTGGGACCCCAAATCCGCCCCAGGGACCCCAAATCTGCCCCTGGGACCCCAAATCTGCCCCAGGGACCCCCAAATCTCCCCCCTGGGACCCCCAAACCTGCCTCTGAACCCCAAAATCTGCCCCTGGGACCCCCAAACCTGCCCCTGAACCCCAATTTCCCCCCTGGGACCCCAAACCTGCCCCTGGGACCCCCAAATCTCCTCCTGGGACCCCCAAACCTGCCCCTGAACCCCAAATCTCCTCCTGGGACCCCAAATCTGCCCCTGAACCCCAAATCTGCCCCTGGACCCCAAATCTCCCCTCTGGGACCCCCAAATCTGCCCCAGGGACCCCCAAATCTCCCCCCTGGGACCCCCAAACCTGCCTCTGAACCCCAAAATCTGCCCCTGGGACCCCCAAACCTGCCCCTGAACCCCAATTTCCCCCCAGGCCAGCAGCCGCAGCAGCCGGGGGCGCCCCCGCAGCAGGATTACACCAAGGCCTGGGAGGAGTATTACAAAAAACAAGGTAAAATCCCCAAAACCCCCCAAAAACCCCAAAATCCCCCCCCAAAATCCACCCCAAACCACCCCCCCCAAAAAACCCCAAAATCCACTCCCAAAAACCCCAAAATCCACTCCCAAAATCCACCCCAAAACCCCCCCCTCAAAAAAACCCAAAATCCACTCCCAAAAACCCCAAAATCCACCCAAAAACCCCCCAAAAAACCCAAAATCCACTCCCAAAAACTGCAAAATCCCCCCCCAAAATCCACCCCAAAACCCCGCCCCCAAAAAGAACCCAAAATCCACTCCCAAAAAACCCAAAATCCACCCAAAAACCCCCCAAAAAACCCAAAATCCACTCCTAAAAACCCCAAAATCCACTCCCAAAAACTCCAAAATCCCCCCCCAAAAACCCCAAAATCCACCCCCCAAACCCCCCCATACCCGAAATCCACGCCCCAAAAGCCCCAAAATTCCCCCAAAGCCTCCCAAAACCGTCCCAAATCCCTCAAGACCCCCCCAGACCCCCCAATCCCACTCGGGGGGGGTTTTGGGGGGTTTTTGGGGTGATGTCCCCCCAATCCAGGGGGTTTTCGGGCGGTTTTTGGGGTTCTGACCCCCCCAGACCCCCCAATCCCACCCAGGGTGGGGTTTCGGGCGGTTTTTGGGGTGCTGACCCCCCAATCCAGGGTGGGATTTTCGGGCGGTTTTTGGGGTGCTGACCCCCCAATCCAGGGG